TCCCCCCGAAGGGGAACGTTCGAGGTTACTAAAGTAACCCTTCGTTCCCCGAGGAGGGGAACGGAAGCACTATACTCCGTCGCCATAATGACTGTCCCTTAGCTGTTGAAAGTCTCTTCAGCTCAAAAAGGATAGCGTCTGCTGGCGCCAGGTGAGCTTATATACTCAGTTGATTGCTTATGCCGCTCACCTGCGCAGGCTTGCGCTGCCAATTCATTCTTAATTGGCCCGTTCAATACTCTTTCAGACGAGTAGCTTCTGAACCGAACCTCCCCCAATGCGTGGATTTTACAATCAAATCCACTTATAGTGCTTCCGTTCCCCTCCTCGGGGAACGAAGGGTTACTTTAGTAACCTCGAACGTTTGTTTTCATGTCAGAGCTTCTACTATGCAACAAAATACAGAGACATGAAAAAAAAGATAATAAATATATTAGAATAAAAATAAAAGTAGTGACTGCAAATATGCAAAGTGTGTGTATGTACAGGCACATTTTTGGTATTCCAATAATAACAATAACAAATTTAGATTTAGACACAGAATGGAGTTGACAGGCTTGATTAAGTTTAATTGAATTATTTCTGCCATTTCGTCTTGTTTTATTGTATCAGATATACACCAACCCAACAAAGTATTGGAAATTATATCTATTTTAAATACACAATAAATTGATATACGAAACAGCATTCATTTGTTAAAGACTTGTAATTATTTATTAGAGTTAATGCAGTTTCATATCATATTTATAATAAATAAATCAAATGTAAATGCCCTCTATTAATATTGAAGTTACATTTGATTTGTGCTAGTGTTGCCATACAATAATGTCTTGAAATATAGATACCATGATAACAAAGGATTACACACATTGATGTTACGAGATAGCCTTGTTTGTGTTTTACAAAACCTTTTTTTATTTCTTTTTTTATGCTAGCAAGATTTACTTTCTCTTCGCAAACTAAGCATTACAATTGATATTTCGGATTTAAGTTGTGACTTTAGGCCTACCTTGTAATAACCATTAGTACATTACATAAACCCTTATAATCACTTATCATATAAGCAATACTGTAGGGTTTTTTTTTCAGGGAGGGTGAAAGAGCATCTTTGTGACCCTGAGAAGCGCAGACAAAGGGCAGTTTCACAGACTGATGCGGAGTAAGACGGACATTGGTAAGCGACACGGCAATGATGCCAAGTGGGTCTCTCCTTTCTCTCTTGACCTGCCGTACGGTACATGAAAAGCCAGTTGTGCAGATCCAAAGAATTTCAAAGTTACCAGCAAATGAAAATGTCAGCAAGCTCTCATTTTAACCATGACAAGGCTTCTCGCGTATCTTTCATAATGCTGTGCTTCCAATGAAGTTCCTGCACATACGAGATTAAGCTGATACTTGATATCATTGGCATTTCAGGGACACATTAACATTTATGCACTGAGTTCCAATTTTTATGGCACATGGTTTATTATTTTTCGCTGTGGGAATTTTAGTGAACTTAACATTTAGCTCTAATGCTAACTGTTTTTTTATAGTCTTTTTGCAGAGCAAAATGTCTGACGAACCTGTTTTATTGATATTATACTGAATGGACTGAAAGACCCGCCATTAAATTCTCCATTTGTGCTACAAAAGGCAGACATTTTCTACATTCCTAGCACTATTATCATTATTTCTGCTTAATAGTGCAACCAGAGAGCAGCTCAACAGAAAGTGCTCGTTGAGCTTTTGCAGTGGGATTGCTTTCAGGATAATATTGCCATGAGCACAGGCTGAATTTTATAAATCAAACGGTTGGATTCAGCTTCAAAACACCAAGAGGTTCCTCAGTCATTCAGTCTAATAACCAGAGTAAAGGTTTTTTTTCATCATTTTTTTGCTTTCACCATCAGTAGTAACAGGTTAGCACAAAAATACCATTGAAAATACTGGGGTAAAATAAACCATTTTAAAAATATTTTAAATACATGGCAAGGGGAAATGGAATTTAATGCAGTGCTTCTTGTCCAATCTGAGAACCACTTCTTATCGGATATCTAACAGGCACTGAAGATCACAGATTTTTTAGAAAAATCAGATCTTAAACGTGACAATTTTGTAATAGAAAGACAATTTATTGGAAGCCCTTGAGCTGATTGGGCTTAAAATGAAACGTCTGTGTATCTGTGTATAGCCCATTCATATAATGTGTTAAATTGTTTTTTAACAGCTTAATTTAAGGTATTTGATTGGTGCAAAAACTTCTCAGAAATGTGAGAATTTTGGTTAAATTATACATGTTTGGTTTTGACTGTTGCTAAAAGCAACAGTCGATTCAGTTTAAAACCCTGCTGTTAATGTTGACTGACTGACTGACCAACTGACCGATATACTAACCCACTCTCTTCCCTAAACCCAGCCGATAGTGTATTCAAAATCAATCCAAAAAAAGAAAAGCTCTCACAGCAGCCTGATTTTCACCATGTTTAGACTTTATTATTTATTTGATTTATTTACTTGTTTGTTTTATTTTTGTCTTTTGATAATGTCTGACCTGCTTTCTAGAAACCGTTCTTCGCCAGACTCGAACCCCATCATCACGGTCAACTCTGCTCCGCTTCTCAGATCCTCTGACGTACGACAAAGTAGTAAGAGCAGAAAAGTCTTCCACACAGATGTAAGAGGTCAGCTGGTAAGCACGAATAGGAACGTGTCATACTGCCCATGCAGCATGCATTTTAAAGATTAAATGCAGCCATATGTTTCTCTGGGTATGTAATTTGCGATCTCCTGAAATGTAAACATCTTACATATGTTACTAAGCTAAAAAAGAGACAGAGCTAAACATTGAGCCACCGTGTCGCCCTTTTGTCAGTGTACACTCTCAAATATAATCGTATTTTTATTGTTTACTAAATAATATTCGTATAAACACTTTTTCATATGTACGTTCTAAAAGATTGCATTTCATTTCATCATAAATGTATCTGTTATGCTGAATAATAAGGAATTTTTATTTCAGCCATGATTTGAAATTGGCTTTTTACAAACTTTAAACGAAACATTAAAGAAGACGCTGTGCATTAAATATGCTTTTCATGAATATAGAATCACTTTTGTAATTTAATCCAGACACTAAAATGTCTTTGACCTTTTTTTCTCACTAGGAGAATCATTTCAGCTGTGTCAAAAATATTTTGCATCACATTTCGAAACTAAGGACGCAAGGAGAAAAAGTGAAATTACCCTATGGATGCATTGCTACAGCTCATTTAGTCCTCTAGTTCCTTTGGAACCTTTGTGGAGCTACAAATTACAGTTTGATGTACAATTTGTTTCAAGGACAAGGGGCAGATCAATCGGCTATCTGGGAGCTGGAAATCACACAGCCGACACAAAAGCTGCGTGCTGTCAAAAATCTGAAAGGCAACAGCTTACTGAAACCCTTGAGACATGTCCTGAAGGTGTTTTTAAAACATTATCATTATTAAAACATAATTCATTCAATAGCACATATTTAAACAATTTCCAGACTCCTCAAATCATGCCTCATTTCCTGTGTGTTTAAAAGTCAATGTTGGGGCTCATTTTTCCAACATGCTGCATCACAATTCCTAAATCTATCCTAAACCCTATTTCAATATAATTAATGTGTCGCAAATCATAGTATGTTAAATTGAGTATTCCAAAGTTACCTGGCTGTTCTTCTATTTTACTATTATGTAATAATTTGAAGTGCACAACTGTACTCATTCTAAACACCACTATTGTCCCCAATACATTTGTCTATTTGATTAAAACTACAAAAGCGGGGAAAAAAGTGTTAACAAATGACAAACATGATGGATGAATGAGACTGACTATATAATGGAGAGGTTTTGGTAAAGATATTTGAATGACTGTTAAATAACATCTGACCTACTGGAAAATATTTTCAAGTTTTCCATGTTCAATTTTATCTGCGACAACAATATGAACTTTTATTAAGACATGTTTGGTTATTAACTTCTGAATGTGCTATTATGCAAACACCTTAGGTGATTTTTCAGCATGAAAGATCAATGGTGGATTACCTGCTTCAAGGTTTCTGCAGGTTACATCAAGTCAAATGTGAGACTTTTAAAGACCCTTTTAAGAGCATTATGAATTAAATTTTAGACTTATACAGGGCTAAACACTAATGAATATTTCTTAAGGCCTGGTTTGCCACGGCTGTAATTGTAATTGGGACTTGTGGAGCTGCGCATCAATTGATTTCTTCTTCAGTGTTTGGACTTTCAACAGTGAAATTTAAACTACACTGAAATAAACCAAACTGAAATTCAACTCTGAAAACTGGACTAACACAGTTTTAATTTACTTCTATACTTCTTTAAAAAAATGCATAGGGAATTTTTAATAAAGTAGTGTGCCCCAAAGCCTGCATACTATTCTGTTACACGCTTAAAGGTAAGTTCTTTTTATTTACAAAAAAAGTAAATACTAGCAGTGCACAACAGAAATTCCTAACATATTGTTTCCTAACAGTCAAAAGGCTGTTATTATTGTTCTAGAAAAAGGTTAATCCTCCAACTGCTAAACTATGGCTTTAGGAATTGATGTTTACCCTGAATTTGAACAAAACCAGATATTCTTTAAAAGGCACTTGCACAATTTTACAAGTTTTTAGACCCCTTCTTCTTGTCACTTAATGGGGGGAATTCTATTTCCTAAAGCAATGTATTTTAATTAAAACATTGTTTTGATTATTAGTGTATTTGCATACTCACAGGCTGGGGTTGGGGTGTTGCTCAATGCTGTGTTCTTTTCTTTTGTTTGCATGTTTTTGTAAGCTTATGTGCATATCACAATATTTATTCTGGTATTTGGGATCATTTTAAGTCTGCTTGATGACCAAATAAAACTTATTTGACAAAAAAGTAACATACTATAAATAGGCATATTGGGATGCAGCAACAGTCTGTGGTTACTTCTAGCAACCCCGAAATCTGGATCCATGTGACACAATTAATGTTTCTTACCTCAAGATACACCACCCAGGGCATAACTAATGTGGCCACGAGAAGATCTGCCACCGCCAAGCTGACAATGAGGTAATTAGTGGTGGTCTGCAGCGCTTTCTCTCGGGAGACTGCCATACACACCAACACATTGCCGAAGACAATGACAAAGATGAGGAGAGTCAGGAGCATGGCATAGTAGTTATACTGATGCTTGGCCTCACAGCCTGTGCAGTTGAGGGCCCCGGTCCCATTGTCATAATAAGTGTCATTGTAGGGATACTCCGTGAGGAAATCCATGAGCTGTGGCCAGGGAAGAAGCCTGAAACTGAGAGACATAATTCACTGTCAGTCAATGCAACAAACAAAGGTTGAAGGAAGCAGTAACACGCCAAGGCAAAAGGGGATGTCATTGATCAGAAGCTTCCCCATCATATCTTGAGTTGTCATTTAAAGCTAAATCTGGTTATTTCTACGCTTAAAAAATACTTTTAATTTAGGGTAAAAAACAGCTGTGTTTAGCAGAATTTTACCATGAAAAATATAGAAACATAAACTCCAAAATTTCTAAAACAAGCATATTGAACCTCAAACTACTGTGGGACATGTTTTACTTCTGTATTTCATTAATTTCCAATGCTATGCATCAATGTTTTAAAGTACTGACATCGACACAAGGTAAATTTGTTGAACGTCACATGATGAACCAGTGCTAATCACAAAGAACATTTCCCACAAGCAAAGAAACAAACATAATATACAGAAGGAGCTCAGTTTCATTCAAACAACTAATAACTATCATTGTTACACACATGAAAATAAAATAATGTGATATATATATATATATATATATATATATATATATATATATATATAACCCTTCAGAAATCACCAATTTATGCTGAACTTTCTTCTGTCAGCAGGTGGCGCTAATATGACTGTGTCTGTGAATATTGGCATGCAGATGTCTTTAGGACTGGAATATTTTTGAACGTGAATTTTCAGGCAGGTCAGACATTGTGTGGCTGACTTATAAGCCAGACTTCCTTCTGTCAGCAGGTTGCGCTATGACTGTGTCTCAATATTAACATGTAGATTTGTTCAAGTCAGGACTGTTCTGAAACGTGTAAATTTTGAGGCATATGGGACAATGCAAGCTTGAGTTATAACAACTTCCTGTCAGGGAACACAGGCGGACACAAGTGCAGGTTAAGAGTTTTTATTCTTGATCAAAAAATTGCCCTAAAAGGGTGCAAATCAAATCCAACTGGGCGTTTGCAGAGAAAAATAGGAGAAAAACAAAAACAAAAAAACTGCATAAAAAACTCCCAGAAGAGGGCGCTGTTAAGTCCTTGACAACAGAGACCGGGTCCTGTCACCAAATAAATCCAAAAGGGGGCGCCCAGTTCACAATCTTCAAAAAAGAGAAAGCAAAAGACAGCCGGGGTGATCCAAAAATAAAAGCAAACAATAGCGTCTATGATACTGTTACCCGGCAGGGGGCGTGCTGGTACGTTGCCGTGAGGGGAATTCGGAAGTGGAGCGTGAGCGAGGGAGAGGAAGCCGGCAGTCAGTTGAAGCCGATGGGCTCCGAGAGGTTGAAGCAGTCCGGCCTGGGAACAGAGGAGGTTAAGGAGAGGCAAAGTGCAAGAAGATGGTTCTGGCGTGGAGCAGCACAACAAGACAGAGTTGGAAAGGACAGGAGAGCCACGACAGGAGACAAGACGAGACCAGACGCGAGCGGCTCGGCGTGGGCGCGCTCGCAAAACAACAATCTAGCACTGGACTACACACAAGGAGGGGAATAAATAGGACACGAGAGGAATCACTGATAGGGTGCAGGTGAGTGAAAATCAATCTTAATAGATGGTAAATAGGGTAACGAGAGGGAGGAGAGATACGGGGAGCGATCAAAATAAACATTCACGTGCGCTCACCAGAAGTAAACAGAAATGGGGAACAGACAGCATGATCAGACTGAGGATGTGACAGTACCCCCCCTCTACGAACGCCACCAGGCGCTGCATGGGGGGGCCTACCTTGCCGTTGACGGAAATCCTCGACCAGCGCCGGATCCAGAACGTCCCGAGCCGGGACCCAGCTTCTCTCCTCCGGACCATAACCCTCCCAGTCCACTAAATATTGAAAGCCCCGACCTCTGCGTCTGATGTCTAGCAATCTCCGCACAGTGTAAACTGGGGAGCCATCCACTAGACGGGGGGGAGGGGGAATGGGGGCAGAGGGAACAAGACGTGAATACAATACAGGTTTAACCCTTGACACATGAAAGGTAGGGTGCACCCGACCAAGCATAGGAGGGAGCTTGAGCCGTATCGCCACCGGACTCAGGACCTTGGTGATCCGGTATGGGCCAATGAACCTGGGAGCCAACTTGCGTGAGGCTACCCTGAGAGGCAGGTCCTTGGTAGAAAGCCACACTCTTTGACCACATCTGTAACGAGGAGCGGGAGTCCGGTGGTGATCAGCTGCTGCTTTGGTCCGTTTATTAGCCTGGGCCAAGGCCTCCCTGGCTCTCTTACAGGTGCGTCGACACCGCTGGACGAAAGCAAGGGCAGACGGAACTGCAGCTTCGGGTTCCTGAGAGGGAAACAAAGGAGGTTGGAACCCCATAGAGCATTGAAACGGGGACATACCTGTGGCAGATGAAGGAAGAGAATTATGGGCATACTCGACCCAAGGTAATTGTTGACACCAAGAGCCAGGATTGTGGGACGTCAGGCAGCGGAGAGTACGTTCCAAATCCTGGTTTGCCCGCTCGGACTGCCCATTGGTCTGGGGATGAAATCCTGAAGACAGATTCGTAGAGGCCCCGATCTGTCGACAGAATTCCTTCCAAAACCGGGAGACAAACTGAGGGCCCCTATCAGAAACCACATTGACCGGAAGACCATGAATCCGGAAAACATGATCAATCACCACTTGAGCAGTCTCCTTGGCTGAGGGGAGTTTGGGAAGGGGAATGAAATGGGCCGCTTTGGAGAAGCGGTCCACCACCGTGAGAATGACGGTGTTGCCTTTAGATTCTGGTAGGCCGGTGACAAAATCAAGGGCCAAGTGTGACCAGGGGCGGGATGGGATGGGAAGGGGGCGGAGCAGACCAATGGGAGGCGCATTAGAATTCTTGTTCTGAGCGCAAACAGAGCAGGCGGCCACGAACTGCCTGACGTCCTTGGCCATGGATGGCCACCAGAATCGCTGACGGATGGCAGCCAGTGATCTCCTGACTCCTGGGTGACAGGTCAACTTAGAGGAGTGACCCCACTGGATTACTTCAGAGCGCATCTTGGTAGGGACAAAGAGACATCCCGCTGGGACCCTCTCCGGTCCTGGACTTGTCCTCCTGGCTTCCTCAACCCGTTTTTCAATTTCCCAAGAGAGAGATGCCACCACCATCTCCTTGGGTAAAATGGTGTCGGGTGGTTCCCTCTCCCCTGGGGCCTCAAACAGACGGGAGAGAGCATCTGGCTTAATATTTTTGGACCCAGGTCTGTAAGACAAGGTAAAATTAAATCGCCCAAAGAAGAGGGCCCAGCGAGCCTGTCGGGAGCTCAGCCTCCTGGCTGAACGGATATATTCAAGGTTTTTGTGATCCGTCCAGACCAGGAAAGGCTGAGCTGCGCCTTCTAACCAGTGACGCCACTCCCCCAGGGCCAACCTGACTGCCAACAATTCCCTATTACCTATGTCGTAATTTCGCTCTGAAGGATTCAGGCGATGGGAAAAGAATGCACAAGGGTGCACTTTTCCATCCAGGCGTGACCGCTGAGATAAGACTGCGCCTACTCCGACGTCCGAAGCATCCACCTCAACAATAAATTGCCGTTCAGGATCTGGAATAGATAGAACAGGAGCAGAGACAAAACGGGACTTTAATTTATCAAAGGCCTCCTGAGCATCAACTTCCCATTTGAACGGTACCTTGGGAGAGGTGAGGGCTGTTAAGGGTGCAGCGATCTGACCAAAATTCCTGATAAAGCGCCGATAAAAGTTGGCGAACCCCAGGAACCGCTGCAGAGCCTTACGAGAGTCTGGAGTTGGCCACTCGGCGACTGCCTTTACCTTACAGGGGTCTGCCTGGATCTCTCCAGCCGAAATAATGAATCCCAAGAACGAGACCGACTGGACGTGGAAAACGCACTTCTCCGCCTTAACATAAAGCTGATTCTCCAGCAACCGTTGTAGCACTTGGCGGACATGTTGGGTGTGTACCTTTAAAGATGGAGAGAATATCAAGATATCATCAAGGTACACAAAGACAAAACGATTAACCATGTCTCTCAACACATTATTGACCAAGGCCTGGAAGACCGCCGGGGCATTGGTCAGACCGAACGGTAAGACCCGGTACTCGAAGTGTCCCGTAGGCGTGTTAAAGGCGGTCTTCCACTCATCCCCCTCTCGTATGCGGATAAGATGGTAAGCATTCCGGAGGTCAAGTTTGGTAAATACCTTGGCTCCCTGCAAAAGTTCAAAGGCAGAAGACATGAGAGGTAAGGGGTACCTGTTTTTAATAGTGATGTCATTGAGCCCTCGATAATCAATACAAGGACGCAGGGAGCCATCTTTCTTCTTGACAAAGAAGAACCCGGCACCCGCGGGGGAGGAAGAGGGTCGGATGAGACCGGCTTTGAGTGATTCATTGATATACCTATCCATGGCCTCTCTCTCTGGACCAGAAAGGGAAAATAAACGACCCTTGGGCGGAGAAGTGCCTGGGAGGAGTTCTATGGCACAATCATAAGGACGATGCGGAGGCAGGGAAGTGGCCCGAGACTTGCTGAACACCCGGCGCAGGTCAAGGTACTCCGCCGGTACCCCAGAGAGATCAGCTGCCTCCACCTGTAAGACAGGACACACAGACACAGGAAAAGCAGCAGGACCCAAACACGAAGCAAGACAATGCTGACTCCAAGACAAAACTGAATTACTCGACCAATCTACATGAGGGCCATGCTGCACCAGCCATGGATGCCCCAAAACTATGGGGGCACTAGGCGAATCTAGGAGAAGCAGCGTGGTAACCTCATGGTGATTGCCCGAGACAACGAGATGGGGGGGAGGGGTGGTATGGGATACAGTGGTGATAAGGGTGCCATTAAGAGAGCGAGCAGGGATAGGATTGGAAAGAGGGAGTGCAGGGATTCCCCACAAGGTAGCTAAAGAACTATCCATAAAATTACCTTCGGCCCCGGAATCGACCAAGGCCAAGGCAGAATTAAAAGAGTCACCAAACTGGACAGATAAAGGGAGAACAGTACGAGAGGAGGGGGAATTCAATAAAGGGGTAGCGCTCACCAGGATCCCCCT